ACCGACATGGCTAAGTCCACTACTCGTCAATGACTTCATGGATTTCTGTCATGTTTTGGTTTGGCCGCCCCTAACTTTCTTCCAACCTACTCCCTCCTACACTAAAAAACAAAGCTCGTCAAGGCAGTCGGTGTTCATGCCTAATTTAAGATGATATCTATCTATCCTTGATTACTATTTATGTCAAAAATTATGGAATTTGTTGGTTTTTATTTCACAAAAAAACATGATATTTTTCTGTGTAAGAAAATAAATAAAATGTCAATATTCTTCTATTCAAACAAGATTTTCTTTTAAAATGTTTTGAACTATTATTATTTTTCATAAAATTCTATTATTTACATGACCTTATAATGCATTAGATTTGACTAAACTACTATAATAGAGATTGTTCAGTAGTAGGTATGTAGGCAGGTAGGTAGGTAGGTAGGTAGATAGTCAGGTAAGTATACTGATAGTTGGCCTGCTAAATTCATTTATATCCATCCATCCATCCACTTCAGTAACACAGATTAAACATTATTAGTTTATTTAAAAAAAGATAACATTCTTCCCCATGTTTTACGAGTTTATTATTATTACTACTATTAGTTGTATTAGTAGTAGTAGTAGTAGTAGTAGTAATAACAGTAACAGTATCAAGTTTATTGAATTCTGTAATCTTTTAATGTAGTAAATTCAATCAAAGTTATACACACAACTGAGACGCCTAATTACCTTCTTCTCCTTCATCTTCTTCTTGACTTTGTTTCCTTTTTAAGGACACACATTAACCACACACACACACACAACACGCAGACACACACACACACAGATTTATTATGTAAGGAAACATGAGATAATCATTTGAATGACAATGAATATCGGTAAGCATAGATAGATAGATCTTTCTTGATTAAATCTAATAGATTTGATTAAATCTAATAATGTAAACAATAGATAGATAGATAGATGGATGGCTAATATATTTATATATATATCTATTACATATAATTTTTGACCTTAAAAGTATATATATTTACATAGTAAAAAGGAGTACATTAAATTCTTTGAAGATGTTTTGATTTTTACTAAATATTAGGTTACGAAATCAACTTCTTGTGGGGAGGGAATATGTATTTATTTATGTGAAATGTTTCTAATCATGAATCGATCATTGTTAGATAACCATTAAATAACTGGGAGTACTGGATGGGCCGTTTCGTCTTAATGCTAATGTACATGCACTACTTCTGCTACTCGCAGAAATCGAACACCGGAACCTTCGGTGGGAACGCTTAGCCACGAAGATAGTGGATAAAGTTACATAAGACCTATGTGGCTGTGAAACATGGCCGTTAAGAGTAGAAGATGTTCGTAGGTTACTAGCATTCGATCACAGATGTTTAAGAAGCATTGCTCGTATATCGTGGGACAACCGTATAAGCAATGCTGTCGTTAGAAAACGAGTTCTAGGTAAGGATAGCAGATCAATAGATGAAGTGGTGAAACTTCATCAGTTGAGGTGGTTGGGACATGTGTTGCGTATGCCTAACCACCGACTGCCTCGACGAGCTTTGTTTTGCAGTGTAGGAGTAGGCTGGAAGAAAGCTAGGGGCGGCCAAACCAAAACATGTCAGAAATCCATGAAGTCACTGACTAGTGGACTGAGTTATGTTGGTAGATGTAGACTACCTGGTTGGGGTCCACGAGATGAAAGTCACCAATGGTTAGAGACCTTGAACGATATGGCTCAAAATCGTTTGCAATGGCGCAAGTGCATTCATTCGTTGAGCTCTCTCAAATCCTAATCTTCTGGATTCGTCAGCATCTCTACCTTTGTCTTTCTAACCTTATCTGACTAAATAATACTTCTTGAATAATATCTTCGAACCCTAATCTTCTTCATTACCATTAATACCTCTACTATCTTTATCACTATGGGATTTGATTTGACATTTGCGTCTCTGTGCTAATGTGTTATGTATGGTAACATGAACTTATGTACATACGTACGAAGTTCTACGTTGCAACTGACTGACTGACATAAGACCGTAGATTGATTGATATTAGAAATGAACACCCGTTGGATGCTGAATCAGTGATCCAGAGGTTAAGAGTTCGTACGCAAGACTGCAAGTCCTGGGTTCGATTCATGCAAGCAGTGTGATTTTGTGGTCGTGCACTGCTGATGATTCTCATACTAGAACGAAACGGCCGTCCATGGCTTCCATCTTTCTATCGATGGTCTAACATTCTTGTTTTCAAAGCAATTCAACAATCTACACAATTATACAACTTTATATTTTATTCATAACTGTTCATTATCGATTAATTAATGGCAACTACTGACGATTTAATGTATTTATATGTAATTACTGACCGAATAACCTATTGATAAATAACTGGTTGTAATTTTTGAGGGGATAGGACACACACACACACACCACGAAAAGCACCTAACTGCGTCACAAGACAAGCCCTCACTTGGAATCCTCAAAGCAAAATGAAAAGAGGAATGCCAAGGAACACATTACGCCTAGTAATAGAGAAGGATATGAGGCGAATGAACAAAAATTGGACAGAACTGGAAAGGGAAGTTCAGGACAGAGTTGGTTGGAGAAAACTGGTGGGCGACCTATGCTCCATTGAAGGGGTAACAGGCGTAAGTTAAGGGTAAGGTAATTTTTGAGGTCTTTTTTATAGACAACGCGAAGAATTCTATCGATCAATAATATCGTTCTTCATTCTGTAATTCAGTAAAATGTGTGTGTGTGTGTGTGTGTAATAGTTGTCAGTTATTAAAACAGGTGGCAGTATAAGTATTTTGACTATTCATTACAATCTTTCACATCACCAGACAAGATGGATTGTGGGGAACAGAGAGTAACTGTTTTAACATTTTCCTGATTGACATGATTTCCAAAAAAATTAAATTATTGAAATAATAATTACAAATCGGTGAGTTATAATCAATAGATCGATGATGAGAGAAATCGATGCTTAAGTATCGATCGATCTCGTGTATTTCATTTCAGTGATGAATACAAAGCCTTCTGCACCAAATAATTTCATTGGCAAACATCTCATATCGATTTAGATAGTGTTGATTACACAAACCGAACACGCGGTCATCATCAATATCATGTTATCTAGACATTAATATTCCAGGCTAAATAATTTCACCTAATCTTAAGTAATACAAAGATGCTTATCAATGAATTTGGAGAAATTTTGATCACAATCAGTTTACTGATTTACGCCCGTTAACTCTTTAGAAGACCATAGACCTCCAACCAGCATTCTTCAATCTACTCTGTTGTGGACCTTTCTTTCCAGTTTATACCCGATCGCTGTTCACTGAATTCACGTCTGTTTCCAGATCTCGGCGTAGTTTTTGCCTTGGTCTTTGTCTTTTCCTTTAGCCTTGAGGATTTATGTTACGGCTTGCCTAGTGACGCGGTTGGATGCTTTTGGCAATGTGTGTCCTATCCTTTTGCTTCAATCTGGTTAGTTTTCTGCCACAGTAGGTTGTTGCTGATGATATCTGGTAAACGAATTGGGAGTATCTTTTGTAGATAACTGATAATAAACACGTTTATCTTTCGATTGCTGGTTCTGACTAATCTCCAAGTTTCCTCTTCAAAAAATAGAACTGACGTTTCTATTGTGAAGGTTTGACTTTGGTGTTGATTGACAGTTGCTTTGAATTACAGATGCTCTTCGATCATAGAAATACTTCCCCTGCTTTACTAATCTGCATCTTCACATCTGCATCAGATCCATTGTCAGACAGACAGACAGATACAACGCAGAATTTCTTACATGAGTACATCAGTTCCTGTTGCCATACCATGTCAGCACAGAGACGTAACTGTCAGTTCAAATTCAAGAGTGATAGCGATAGTAGAATTATTAGCAGCAATGGAGAAGATTAGGGAGCGAAGATATGATTCGAAAAGTATAATTCAGTGAGATAAATTTAGAAGGAGAAAGATGGAGATTATGAGGAATGCAGAAGGTTGGAATTAAAATGCACACAAACAGTGGATGCACCTGCGCCATTGCAAACGATTCTGAGCCATGTTGTTCAAGGTCTCTAACCATTGGTGACTTTCATCTCACGGACCCCAACCAGGTGGCCTACATCTATCAAGATGACTCAGTCCACTTGTCAGTGACTTCATGGATTTCTGCCATGTTTTAGTCTGGCCGCCCCTAGCTTTCTTCCAGCCTACTCCTACACTGCAAAACATAGCTCGTCGTGGTAGTCGGTGGTTAGCCATACGTAACACATGTCCCAACCACCTCAACTGATGAAGTTTCACCACTTCATCTATTGATCTGCCATCCTTACCTAGAACTCGTTTTCTAACGACAGCATTGCTTATACGGTTGTCCCACGATATATGAGCAATGCTTCGGATACACCTGTGCTGGAAGACTAGTAACCTACGAATGTCCTCTACTCTTAACGTCCATATTTCGCATCCGTACTTTAGGACAGAGCGAACTGCTGCGTAGTACACTCGTTCTTTGGTTAACAAGCGGATATCTGGCCTGCACCATAAGTGACGCAGGTCGACAAAAGCCAATCGAGCCTTCTGTATCCGAGCTGAGATTTCGTCCATCACCACGCCATCAGCACTGATGAGACTCTCAAGATAAGTGAATCGGTCTACACGTTCGACTACTTCACTCCCTATCAGTAGTTCAGGTGCCGATCCACTGTGCTCATTAGAATGCTTCCCAAATTTGTAAAGGTTTATTACATCCTTCAAAGCTTTTCTGTCAAGTGTGATCTGATTGGTGCATGTTGTGTGGTATCAGGGAATCTTGCTTCTTCCTTTGTGTTCTTATGTTGAGACCTACTAATGTAGAGACTGCTGCTACTGTAATCGTCTTCGCCTATATTTCTTGTTAACACAATCTGTGCTAATATTTATAAATAATATGGAAATTATCTTTCCTTTAACATAAAACTTTTTTTTCTTTAATTGAAATAAAATCAAATTACTAACCTTAGCTCGTGATTTCAATGGTTTGCTTTTTTCATGTAATTCAACATTGAACCCCGTATTGGCATGATTCAACTTCAATAATTCTGGATCTGTTTTTTAAAAAAAAACAACAGGAAAATAATTAATAAGAAAAGTTAAATATTACGCTTTTGTAGAAGCATTGCAGGGTTGTTGTGAAGATTGTTGAGTTTTATTTGTAACCATGAATCGATCAATGTTAGACCACCATTAGAAACCTGGAAGCACTGAAAGACACCCGTTTCTTTCTGGTATGGGACTCACCAGTGGCTCCTGCACCCCGCAGGATGCGAACCCGGGACCTTCGGTATTGTGCGCGAACGCCCTAACCGTTAGACCACTGAGCCGGTATCTAACGGTGTTAATGTCTAACTTGATCAAATTGTAGAAACTTTGTCCAGTGAATAATTTAATGAACATATAACATCAGTGTTGAAGAAGATTTCCCAATGAGAAAAATGATTATTAAGATAGAAAGAAATTGATACGAACTAGTCGTCGATAAATTCAGTGAGTTATTGTGGATTTTCGATTAGGTGAATTTCAGAAATGTATTTTTAAAAAATCAAATTCTCGGTATATCAACCCTGACTTTTATTTCATTTTCTTGTAAAAATGGTTTCAAATAATGAGTCAACATGGATGAAAGCTATCAGTGGAATCCAGGATGAACAGTTCGTCCTGCATTGGACTCGTTAGGCGGATATGTTTGCATTTGAGAATGAACGTTCACTCCAAAACTCGAACTCAGTATTATTGGCGTCAAAAGCTATCTCGTTATCCTCTTAACTGTTGAAGTCAGATATCCACCGGCTTGTGCAATAGGTTGAAATGTAGATCATTTGAATTGATTGGTTGAATTTTTGCAATGATGTTTACGACTGTGTGGAGTCGAAATGTTTGACGACCTTTTGTTACTCTGTTTGATTCCATTTTGAGATGATGATAATATTTGTATTTTATTATTATAGTTTCTATTTCTTCTGCCTTTACTGACTTTCTATTTTTCTTTCAGAACTGCGTTTATGCTGTTTAAGCTGATACTTAGTCATGGCGACAGACATATTGACTTGTTCCTCATTTGTTTGTGTCACTTGCATTGACTGGAATTGTGCAGTTTGATTGTGAATTGAAGCATTATTCCAGAATAAGAAACACTCTGTGTTATAAAGCAACCAAATATTTTCTGTCGAACGAATCTAATCTATCCAGAAAGGATAGAATAACATTTATTTGTTGTTGCTGTTGATTTGATTAATTGAACAATTTTTGGTGGAATAACTGAGTGGTAATATTTGTTTAGATTAATGATGTATATTTATATTTATGATGAATATTCGAAGTGTCATTTACCCAAATCACTTGTTTTGATTTTAAAGTGGACAAGACGCGTATCTAAACTACCTAGACACAGTTATTCCTCAATCCAAACATCAGTTTGGATCCTGCATAGCTTACTAATATTTGAAAGCAAAACGTCTGATTCAGTGTTTTCTATTGACTACCCACAATTACCAAAGAGCATTACTTCGTACATTCAATGTCAAGCGAGTCATTTAAACCAACGGTTACATTCTAATTTGATTGATAGATTTATTTTGCATGGTAGGATTGTGAAGATTGGTAAATCCTAGTATAGTACTCATAAGTAGTGCGCATTCACAATCCCCGATCGCGAGAATCAAACCCAAGACATTCGGTATCGTGCAGACGCTTAACCTTTAGATCACTACTGGTCATGATTTCTCACTAGAACGGGGAAAAACGTCTTTGCTGAGCTAGTCATTAGTGAGCACGTAATAATTTTCACCATAGGGTTGTGAGGATCGCCAACAAGTTAAGACCGGTGGAGTGTGAAGCAGTGGCAACCGGAGACAATAACGTGCAATGATGGACGTTATACATTAATAACTTCGAATGCCACCTCAGTGATCTCAAGGGGGCCAAGCTTGCGTCTGACAGACCGAAGGTCCGCGACTCGATTCTTACGTACGAAGTCATGGATGCACACTGCTAGTGACTCCCTTACCAGAATGGTGAAACGATTGTCCGTTAATTCCAGGTTTCTACTGGTGGCCTAACATTTATTGATTCATGAGATCGATAACACTCATCGATCTTCACAACCCTGCAATGAAAATTAATTTTAATTGACAATAATTTATGAGAATACAGGAAATTTGAATTACGGGTTTGTGAAGATTGTTAAGTTACGCATTTGTGAAACCGTGTATCGATCGATGTTAGACCACCATTAGAAACCTGGAAGCACTGGACGGCCGTTTCGTACTGGTATGGGACTCATCAGCAGTGTGGACAGTAACTGCCGGAGACTGTGTATGAGGTTGCGCAAGTTAGACATTGACACCGTTAGATACTGGCTCAGTGGTCCGATGGTTAGGCGTTCGCGCACAATGCGGAAGGTTCTGCGTTCGAATCCTGCGAGGTGCAGGAGTCGTCGGTGCGCATTGCTGATGAGTCCCATGCCAGCACGAAACGGCCGTCTTTCAGTGCTTCCAGGTTTCTAATGGTGGTCTAACATTGACCGATTCATGGTTTCAAAAATGTGTAATACCGGAAATGTCACATTTTATGATTGGCTTTTTCAATAAATTTAATTTCTCATATAACCGAAACAAACAACAATTTCGAACATTCCACGGAGGTGGGTTAAACTTTGTAAAACTCTTTATCTTATTCCAAAATAGCGAAACTTCAACAAAATAGTTTCCTTAAGAGAACAGCTGTATTTTCTGTGTGTTCTTATAACAAGTGTAAGATGCAGAAATGAATAGACAATACCTAGGCAAAGTGTAGCGTGAATGATCCGACTAATGATGAATGAAATTCTTCACTGAGGGATTCTTAAAACACGATTAAACAATTCATTTCAGAGAATACAACACATTCAAATTCCTCTTCATGAGCTAAGAATCTTCTTCATTGTCACAAAATATTAGTTATGCACAGAATAATGTTATATAGACCTTTGAAAAAGTAAAAATGTACTGCGTATGACCAATAAGTTAAACAATTGTTTTAGAAAACTTGAAAGTTGTTCATTTACAAATCGTTTACAAAATGAAGTACTCATCATATGTATCAATCTTCTCCCTGTAAAGCTGTCAGGTTTCATTGAAATCATGAATCGATCGGTGTTAGACCACAGTTATTTCTCTGAATGCCAGCTATTCAGGATTAGAGACCCTAAATGACATAGCTCAAAACCGGAAGCAGTGGCGTAGGTGAATTCATTCTTTGTATCCTCTCAAATCCTAACCTCTGAGTTGCTCATCATCTCTATCTTTCTCTTTCTAAAGTTATCTCACTGAATTGTACTTCTTGAAAAATATCTTCAAACCCTGATCTTCTCTATTACCGTTAGTACTGTATTACTACCTCTACCACTATGGAGTTTGAATTGACAATTGCATCTCTGCGCCATTGCAGTATGGCAACTTGAACTGTTGTACGCTGTTGTTGATTGATTCATTGAGACCACCATTAGAAACATGGAAGCCCTGGATGGTGGTCCTCAAGTCGTTGTATCGGGGTCATCATCAATGTGCATCCTCGACACCTGCAAGCTGGAATTTAACCTAGGCCATTCGATCTGGCGTACGAACGCTTAAGTTCTGGACCAGTCAACCGGCATCCAGTAGTGTTATTGTCTAACTTAGATCAATCCACAGCCTTGCGCCACCTTATCCACTAGCGATTAGCTCTGTGAAGAAGTTTCATTGAGTTCTAGTGAGAAGTTGTGACCAATGGGGTACAACCCTCTCGGGTGTGAAGCAGGGCCCACCAAAGACAATGGATGAGGTTGTGAAGAACGGTGGCTTTATGTAAGTTAAACATTAACAGCATTGGATTCCGGACTCGTGACCCAGAGGTCTAGTGTTTACTTACAAGACCCAAGGTCCTTTGTTCGATTTTCGCTTGCGGGTGTCGAGGATCATTACTGTCTGCGTTTCTACAAGGCTATTTAGAACGCTATTGTCTTCTCAATACAAAAATTATTTTTTCAATACACTTGCGTAAAAAACTGCAGTACATGATTGTAGGTTTGGTATATTTTAAAACACTTTTAGTTCAATACAAATGAAAAATATGTGACTAGTTAATTAACATACAAAGTCACTATAAATATCATTCTCAATTTTTATGCAATTCTCCAAGGTTTAGTACTCGTTTAAAAATCTAACCTTGAAAAATACAAATTAACCGCTTCATCAGTGTTGAGTCGATTGTTTTCACTATTGATCAAACTCAATAGACTATGTCGAAATTCAATAAGGGCTTAATAAGCATCATGTTGATTAGTACTCAGTCGCTGATTGGTTCATAAGTGTTCAAGTAGTTAAAGAGTGAATTCCCTAACTAGGATATTCAATGATGTCGTTTGTATCTAAATCTAATAATTCCTTGAAAATTGAACAGCGACAACAACATCAACCACTAACAATGATACAAGTTTCATAGTCTTCTATCGATTGCCAGTAATGACTTAAAATGTACCAAAGAGGCTGTTGAGTTACTTTGATCGATTTATGATTTCAGAGTAACTCGACAATCTCAAATTATCATGTACTCATTAGTGATTATCTGTGTGAGAAAGTTTCTCAAAGTTTTTGTGAGAAAAAGTGACACCAGTGGAGTTCAACTCTGTCGAGTGTAGGCAGTTACCAGCTACCAAAGACAAAATAGATGAGGTAGCGTAACACTGTGGATTGTTAGAAGTTGGACATTAACACACTGTTGGATGCCGGCCTAGCTCTCATTAGGTTAAACATTCCCACGCGAGACCGGATGTCCTGTGTTTGACTCTCATGAGCGGGAGTTGTAAATGGACACTGATGATCAGTCTCATACTACTATGAAACAGCCATCCAGAGCCTGCAGGTTTCTAATGGTCGTCTAACACTGAACGTTTAATGATTTCATAGTTTAACGTAATAAAAATTTGTTCAACAACATTCTGATTTCATTTCACTTTTGAATAATATTAATTTTAAAAAATTCAGTTTGTGTTTAAAAATCAATCACATTTCATTTAAACAAAAGAATTGAA